TTATCAGGGGTTCCACTAGAGAGATTTACTGTTAGGGATCCGGGTATGACCAGAAATGTGTGGACTGACACAGGGAAGTAGCAGGCTTCAGGAACACAGGCGTAGTCAGGCTGGAGAGGTGAAATGGTCAGGCAGGCCGTAAGATAATGTCAGGTGCCGCCTGGCAGTGTCTCTAGCAGCCTACAGCACAGATTTCCTCAGGGCGCGGGGTCTAAGTTCCAGCCTGCTTTTCACCAGGGCCCCTGATGGTGGGGATGGACTTGGTGCAGACTGGAACCAGGTCGCGACCCCTGAGTGCGTCCGGCTGTGGTAGAGAGTACTGGCAGGGGAGTGCAGGAACGGAGTCTGATGGGAAGAGGCAGGCAGACTTACTAAAGGTGATCCGTGCGGGATGGATCTTCGGGTGAAGTAAGCGTAGTCAGACAGGCCGGGTTGGTATCGAGCGGGCAGCGTGGAACAGGAGGAGCAAGCAGAGAATGGTCGGGGTCACAAGCCAGGTTCAGCAGGTAGCGGGGTACCAAGGATCAGGCAGAAGGATGGTCAGGCAAGCCAGGGGTTCAAAAGGAGACGGTCAGCAGAGGTCAGGATCAAAGCAGGGTCAGCAACAAGGCAGGAACACAGGATACCAGGTACAGGGGCTCATGGGAAACATATACCAAGGCCCTGATCACAGGCCTGGTCATTCCTTAACCCCTTCACGCCTAAGGGTAAAACAAATCTAAATGCCTAAGCACAATTCTGCAACGTTGACGTGTTAGTAAAACCGTACATATCGTCACAACTACTTTGTACATCCAGGTGGATTATACCTTGTTTTTTTCAGGACAAATTGGGCTTTCATTTGGTGGTAAATGGTCATGGATAGCTCCTAATTTTTTATTATTATTAAAGGAAAACTGGGCCAAAATAGTAAAAAAAATCATTTTTTTAAATTTAACTGTGTGTTTCTTGTTACGACCATAACCTACCACCAAAGAACAACTCAAAATACATTCTCCAGTTCTTGACGATCGCAGCGATACCATATATGTGTATGTTATTTGTTGTTTGTACCCGTAGTACAGTCCAGAAACAACAGTGCGCATTTTGTTTTTGTCTTTTTTTTTTATATAAAAACACACTGTCACTGACATTGACATTAACACTAACTGACACTGATACCAATTTTTTTTTAAAATCCTGACCTTTGACCCTGACCTTTGCCCTTGACCCTGACCTTTGACCCTGACCTTTGACCCTGACCTTGACCCAAACACTAACCCTGGTACTGAACTAGATCAAACCTTGATCTAGGTATTTTTCTTTATTTTTTCTTTTATTTTTTAATATTTATTTATCTTTTTTTTTTTTTTTTACAAACTTTTTTTTCTCTCTCTGTGTCAGGAGTTCGAGAGATACAATGTATCTCTCTTCTCCATTCATAGAGAGAGAGAAAACAAGGGGGCCGGGCTGCACAGTGATTGATCACTGTGATAGCCAATCAGAGGCTATCACAGCGATCACGTGACCCGGAATCGGGAGTCCCGGGTCCCGATCGTTAGAACGGGACCCGGGGCTCTCAGTGACACCGCGGTCTTGGTGCTGGGAGCGCGCCGAGCGGCGCGCTCCCAGCACAAAGACAGGTACGCAAATATGCGGCCCCACGGAAAAAAAAGCCCAGGTCCGTGAGGCCGCATATTTGTGTTACGTCGGCGTCAAGGGGTTAAATACACCTCCTGCAATCAGCCCCAGGTGTTGGCTGACTACAGGAGTGAGCTTCTGGCTGCTGAGAGCACCTGCTGGTCAGCCCTGGTACTGCAGCCCACACAGCAGGTGAGTCCCACCACCAGTGCTGAGTCCATTTCTGACATTTACCCTCATTCCCTGTCCTTCTAACAACATGTTTAGCATCATTTTTTATTCTGCTGCTTTGCCCCATTGGGGAGATTTTGCTAGTCATCCTATCTAAATGACACATCTGAATGTGACTGTAAATCTCTTCAAAGATAGCAGAAATCCCACCCCCCTCCACCTTGGATAGTTGTTACCAGAACAGTTGCCCCTATTGAAAGATATTCCTGCTATTTTTCTTATGGTGACAACTGTAATATTTTGGGTTTCCCATCAGTTTAAGTCTTGGTTTCAATGGTCACCAGGAAACACAGAGAAGGTGAATCTCTCCATCTGGGACACAGGCAGTAATAACAACTTGACAGTTTTCCAAACTGCTCTATTTTATACAAAACCTAAACCCAAACCCAATTCCCTCAAAAAGCCCGCACATGACTTCTTGGTGGGTCTACTTCTTCTTAGTGGATCTGCTTCTTTTACATTTTATTCTCCAGTGTGAATATAGATGGTGAGGGTTGAGAGGTGGAGGGTGGCATTGGATCTAGTGAATAGATTGGCATGCAAATCTGAACATCCAGGACCATTCAGAACATGAAGATACTGACAATTATCGAAAAATTTAGTTACCGCACTTTATAATTGCCAAAATGAAAATTGGATTTATTCATCAGGTAAGTGGTGTCTTCTGCATTCCTTAAAATGTAAAATATTCATGTTTGACAAGAAGAAACCTTGCAGCTCCACTCTGTAGCGTGACCTTGTACATAGGTGACAGGTCTGCTTTAATTAAGAACAGGACAGTTCGGTTCACGTCAAAGTTGCTGTCACCAAGGCCATGACACCTTGGGATTTCATGGTTCGGAGCTCCTACCTTCTCAACTTCTGTTTCCAATCACAAATCTACGCTTTCAGATATTTCACCAGTAAATGACTTTGTGAGAATCATGAAAGGGAATTTTATTGCCAGTATTTGAGTCCTGCTAATATATGTATGATTTATCTATGCTGGTAATGGATCCCATCGTACAGGAAAGGCTATAAATTTCAGAGAGACCCTGCACAAGGTGGATGGGGGGAGTCTGAATCTGTGCCAGAGGAAAGTCGATACGGTGTAAAGTGTAACAATGAGATAAAAAGTGAGGATGTAAATTGGGATGACGGTAGAGAAAAGGAGAACAAGGAGATACTAAGGAGACAGAGGAGGAAGAGCAGGACAAGCTGGACAGTCAGACCAGAGAATATACTGTACAAAGGCAAGGTGGCAGACAAAGGGAGAAGGGTGAAAACCGGGTCAGTGATAAGTCAGACAGCTCCACAATGCCAAGCCAAAATAACATATAATAAAACTACAGATTGATTATTAAAGTGGAATTCTTTAGTTAATCACACAGTCCTTAAAAAGCACAACATCTACCGCTTTTTTAAAGGGAAAGTATTGTGTATTTTCTGTGGTCACATATTTTAATTTATTATTGCAGTAGTTACTAAGACTAACATTCATATAGTTTTATGTTTTGCATGTTTGCTTTTCCATATTTTAGTTATTATCTAGCTCAGCCTTTCTGAACCAGGTTTTTGAGGAACCCCAAGGTTCCTCCCAAGGTCACTAGGGGTTTCTTGAGCTATGAGCAATATCTGCCTCTCGAGTAAGTAACTGCTTACAACAATTATTTTTTTTACCTGTCTGTAAGGTGGAAAATCTTCCCAATGATCAAAAATGTAGGGAGCATTCTCCCTAGTGACCAACATGCTATGCACCTTGAGGTACAAGGGTTTCCTGAGACTGAAATGTTATATCAAAGGTCCCTCCACATTAAAAGGTTGAGAAGTGCTGATCCAGCTGATTTATTTCTAAAACATATCCTAAAAATCCTAAATATGTTATACATCCTCTTTTAAACGTGTTTTTAAGAAAATTAAGTTGGTGATATATATATAGATGAATTACACAAGAAGCCCTGTGATGGCTGCAAGAAACTTCAACCGAAGCTGAACTTTGGGAAAATAAGATTGACCCTTAAAGTGAGCCTTCCCCTGAACTATGAGGTTTTGTTTAGGGGGAACATTAAAAGCAATTATACGTACCTAATGCAGACTTCCTTCCAGCTGCATGACCCCTTACCTGAAGCCGCTTCCCTTCTTTGCTCCATTAGTTGCAGGCACTCTGTCATTGTCAAGTACAATGTGGGACCAGCAGTTCTGCATTGTAAGTGAGAACCTCAGGGCTCACCAACAACCCAGAGACAGAGTGGCTGACATCACAATCTTCATCTTATCCAATGAGAGAATGCCTTGTATACATTGAAGAAGAAAAGGCGTTATGGAAATGTCGGCAGTGCTGTGAGAGTGCCCCCGTTGGGTTACTCTGCAGAGGGGCAGCTGCTTGGCACTGGATGGTGACTACTAGTGTACAATGATTTGCAGCTTCCACATGGATTGGCCATGTAAAAGATATGCATAGTTACATTGGTCCAAGCTCGACTAATGTAACCAATAAATGTGCAATAAAAGTCATGGCTACAGTTCAGCTTTAATGCCCTACAGTCCCACTTGAAAGATCTTTTATTAAGAAGATGACTTGAAGCAATAAAACAGATGCCCAGCAAACTGTGAATCCTGAGGTCCTGTATTAATTAATTCCAGTCAATGAGTTCAAAAGTTCATTGTTTTCTAGCCATAACTTGTCAGGTCAAAGGGGCAGCCACTGGAGAATCAAGTTTTCATGTCTCGGTGCTAGTCATCCCATAGGCCTATCATGTTCTATCAACATGGTAAGCGGAACCATGAAGGGTTGGGCTACTCCTGTGCTACCCACATGTAAGCTATCAGCTCTTCCCAGGAGCCTAGTTTTTGTACTTAACTTGAAAAATTGCTTTGTGTGGATGTTCTAGAGGCTTTCTGTATTACAAACAGATGAATATAACATGTCCATCATTTATATTTATCTTTAAGGGCCAGTGAATATAAAATATATATTAAGGTATATGTAAACCCACCCACTAAAGTCTCATCTATTCTTTAATATGTTGATTTTAATTTCAAAAGTCGTCTGCAATCTTTTATATGTATCTGCAGCTTTCTTTAAATTAATTTACATTAATCCTGCCAGCGAAGTCCTTGTTCAGGCACTTCTTGGTGTGGGGTGTCCCTGTCCTCCAACTATACTCCAGTGTTGTCATCTGTCACATGCGCCCCACCCAGGCGGAGTCTTCAAGCAGTCATGCCGACACACATTGCTCAGCCATGGTTCACTAGTTGTCACCATTAGGAAACTTGCAGGGGCAGGGGCGGATTGACAACTCATGGGGCCCCCGGGCAATAGGGGATCGTGGGGCCCCTGTGTCCTTGCCCAAACTCAAAAAAGCCTATGAAAACGGTACCAGGGGCATCTCATGGGGCCCCCTACTGACCCCGGGCCCTCGGGCGGTGCCCGAGTTTCCAAATGGTCAGTCCGCCCCTGGCCATGCAGACATTGCTGGAGTGAATATGATAAGGAAGTGGCAAGAAATGGGTTGCAGGAGACCATTAGCACCAAGATGCAAGAAAAAAAGGACAAATACTTAATTAAAAAATTTAATTTGTTTATGATATACTTATGATATACAATGTTTTGGCAAACTGTCACTAAGGGTTTACGTCTACTTTGAATGCTAAAAAATGATGTAATAACGTTTTATTCCTTCACTTATTGTATTACAGGTGCAGCCAGCTGGAATTTTTGTCTAAGTTTTTATTTAAGAAGTTTAGAACAGCCATAATAACTGTAATATTTGACAAATGGAGTCACATCCATGAATAAAGCCCTTATGCTATCGCGGGGGTTCTTTCTTCAGTAAGGTTGCAGTCTGGCTTCGGATGGGAAACTAGCAGCTGAAATGGGCCATTTGGTTTTCATCTGCTGTCAAAACTTGCCCTTCTTCCTGGTCTGGATTTTACTCGGTTCACTCTACGTCTACATGGGAATGACCCTTAAACTCATCCAGCTTGCACATTAAGCTCATTAAATTAAGCAGCCTTTTATATGAAGCATAAAGGATGGCTGTGAGCAGGAGACTTATATGATCTCCCATGGCTGGGTCACAAAGCAGCACTAAAGGTGACATTCTTCCCCCATTTTTCTCTACTTTTTAATTTTTTAGTATGAGACATTTCCCTTATTATGTACTAATAGATCGTCTGTGCAAGTCTAAGAGACAAAACACGTAGTCTAACAAAATCAAAAGCAAATCCTTGGTGGGTCATAGATCTCCTTACTGCTTGATACATTCTATCATCAGCATAGTTTTGATGTGTTTTATTACATTTGAAAGACTCTATCCTAATATGCTTAGGCACAAAATTCTATAGACAAGTTGGGTTGGGAGTGTTTCTGGATTCTATAGTGGATGTCAAGTCAAAAACATTTTAGATCGAGTGGGAATTGTTTACATTTATTTCTATAGACAAGTTGGGTTGGGAGTGTTTCTGGATCCTATAGTGGATGTCAAGTCAAAAACATTTTAGATAGAGTGGGAATTGTTTACATTTATTTCTATAGACAAGTTGGGTTGGGAGTGTTTCTGGATCCTATAGTGGATGTCAAGTCAAAAACATTTTAGATCGAGTGGGAATTGTTTACATTTATTTCTATAGACAAGTTGGGTTGGGAGTGTTTCTGGATCCTATAGTGGATGTCAAGTCAAAAACATTTTAGATCGAGTGGAAATTGTTTACATTTATTTCTATAGACAAGTTGGGTTGGGAGTGTTTCTGGATTCTATAGTGGATGTCAAGTCAAAAACATTTTAGATCGAGTGGGAATTGTTTACATTTATTTCTATAGACAAGTTGGGTTAGGAATGTTTCTGGATCCTATAGTGGATGTCAAGTCAAAAAACATTTTAGATAGAGTAGGAAATGTTTAAATTTATGTTTAAGGTCAGATTTTTAAAGCTATCAAGGTATCTGTTTGGGAAATTTCCCCTCAAGAAGTATCTTTCCAATGCAACCTTTCTCAATCTCTTTACCTTCAAGGAACCATTGAAATAATTTTTAGATCTAGGGGAACCGCTGCCAAAACCATCGTGGGTCAGTGGAAAAAATGCCCCGGAGCTATGCAGGCACCATCACATGGGAGGTCAACCAGCCACAGCTTAAATATCCCCTAGCAACCTCTGGAGGAAGGCTAGGGTTCCACAGACTCCTGTTTGACATTGACTGTTCTAACAGAACTCTGGATAACAGCAAAAACCCAACTGGAGTTTTAATCCTTCCCCCACCCTAACCAAAACTGGCAAAAAAAGTTTTTGGCTTGACATACACTTTAAACTTTTGGTTCTTGATTATGTGAGCAAGAAACAGTGAAACTCAACATGTCACTTTAGTACATAGGCTGTTCATGAGCCACAGGTGCCCTTACTCTTGAGGGGACCTTGAGCAAAATATAAGCAGGGAACATGAAGAAAAGTGACTCTACCCTCCAGGGACATTGGTCTTGACATCCCGACTCCTGTACACCTCACAACCATGACAAATGATTCAAAGACTAGAGTCTACACACAATCCTGAATTGTCCTTTATTCTCCAAAAAAGCAAACAGTCCCAAGCATCCATAAGAAACAGCTTGTGGCAAGCTTCTCTGCCTTTTAATCACATAGAAAAATACCAAAAAAGCTTCCTGGTGCCAAATCCTGTAAATACAAAAGAAAAAGGTATTGGATTCTTTGGGCACAGTAATAGACCCCACAATAAAATACATATAACCATTTATTGACATAAAAGAGTCATATATCCATGATAGGACCCATAGTACAAACATGCTCCTCAAAAAGAGGAGACAAGAGCAAAACAAGTCATAGTTGAGCACAATGCCCTCCTCATGTATATTAAAAAGAAAATTACCACTAAACACATAGTAAAAACTTGAAATCATCAGAATACGGTCAACGCATTTCATCTGTACATTTGGCTTCTTCTGGAATTGTCCTTTATTTTTCAAAAAAGCAAACAGTCCCAAGCATCCATAAGAAACAACTTTAATACATTTAAGCTGTAATAGGCTTGTGGCAAAGCTTCTCTGCCTTTTAATCACATAGAAAAACACCAAAAAAGCTTCCTGGTGCCAAATCCTGTAGATACAAAAGAAAATAAACCGAACTGCTAGGTACGGCAAAGATATTGGATTTTTTGGGCACGGTAAGAGACCACACAATGAAATATATATAACCATTTATTGACATAAAAGAGTCATAAATCCATGACGGAACCCATAGTACAAACATGCTCCTCAAAAGAGGAGACAAGAGCAAAACAAGTCATAGTTGAGCACAATGCCCCCCTCATGTATATTAAAAAGAAAATTAGCACTAAGCACATAGTAACAACATGCAATTATCAGAATACGGTCAATGCGTTTCGCCTGTGCATTCGGCTTCTTCAGGAATTGTCCTTTATTCTTCAAAAAAGCAAAAAGTCCCAAGCATCCATAGGAAACAACTTTAATACATTTAAGCCGTAGCTGGCTTGTGGCAAAGCTTCTCTGCCTTTTAATCACAGTCATGAGCAACACAACTGCATCTCTCCTAACAATGATGCGGAAATTACCCTGTGTCCCTCAGACAAGCAAAAAGGTTATATAGAAAAATTTCACATTCAACAAAAGAAATCATAAGTAGGAATATCAAGAAAATTTACAAAATCATAATTACAATACAGAACATACCCATCCCTCCAAAAATATATGTCCACGTTTCTTCTTTATGTGCATATATTTTTGGGGGATATATCTTATATTGTAATTGTGATTTTTTTTTTTTTCCATTTTCTTAGTATTAGTTTCTACACTCTTTGAATTTGTTTATCCTTTGGATAGTCCATTATTGTAAACCACTCATTTTACTGCTTATTTTCAAAGGCATGATGGGATGAATAACTATGTTGTACTTATTTATGCAGTAATATAAAGATTGTAACGTTGGACTGATGTTCTACATGCACTTTCATCATTTAGCACTAGCCCTTTAGATGTTTTTTTTTACTAATTTTATGTTTGAAACTTTCTTTGATCACAAGATAATGGCTATATAGATTAATTTATACATTATTTAGACTTAATCTAAGTTTGTGAGGGGAGAAAGTAGAACTCCAGCCAAAAGTGTTTTTTTTTTTTTAACCACTTCCCGTCCGGCCCTTGTATATAAACGGCTGTAGGGGAGCAGTGCAGGGGCTGGTGGCCATTTATAAACCTATAAACAGGAGCCAGGCGCTGTGTAGTTTTGTGATAAAAATAAAACACCTTGTATGGAGGTGTGCCTTTAATAATTCATATGGTAAAAAAATAAATAACCAGCCTGTGGCTTTAGGAAGCCAGGTTCCAAGATGGACGGCCCGTCCGCTCAGAGGGAAGCAGTGGAGTAGAATGCCTGTCAGTGCAGGGACCACGTGTACCCGACGTCCCAGCGTCCTGGATGACGTCACCACGATGTGGAGAGACGGAGGGGGGGAACTCTTGCTGGAACCTCTATATTTATATATTTTATATATTATCTTTGATATTTTATATATTATTTTTTTCATATTTTATATATCTAATACCACTCTGTTTATTCGGTCCATAAGAGTAATTACTGAATTGTATTCATATTTATTTTCCTGTTTATTTCCACATACATATATATATATATATATATATATATTTTTTTTTTTTTTTCAAATATATATATATATGTATATTTTATTTTTTTCATTATATTGTTTTATTATATATACCTATGCAGGTTTTTTTTATAAAATATGTATGTAGTTTTTATTATATTTATGAATATTATTGTGCGCTTTTATCCAGACCGTTCTGCCATTTATAAACGGCCTCCCCACTCCCAGGGAGCGTGATCCGGTGCCGCTGTGTCTGCAGGACGCAGCGGAACACCGATCGTTGTACGGGACCTCTGTGTGAGGTCCCGATCATGTGATCACTGATTGGCCAATCAGTGATCACATGAAGAGTAGTAAGCAAGATATCACTTCGGACATCATTGCTTACTATGTGTGAAATCTGTGAATGATCACAGAGATCACATGGTACAGGGCTATTCACAACAGCCCTGTACCATGTGACAAGCTGTGAACAATCACAGCTCACACAGTATTTCTCAATGGCTGCAAGAATGCAGTCAGAGAGAAGGAGAAATGATTGCTTTTACAGCCTTTATGGGTGTAATAGCAATCAGTGTAAAAAAAATCTTCATCACCCCCACAAGTAGTACAGTGTCACTATGGTGTATATTGTTTCTTTCAACCAATAGCAATCCTGTTATTCTATGTGAACATTGTTTTAAGAGTTTCAACAAAATATTTATTAAATGTGTATTAACCACTTTCCCTCCTGAGCAGGGGCAGACTGACAAGTCATGGGGCCCCCGGGCAATAGGGGATCATGGGGCCTCTGTGTCTTTGCCCAAACTCAAAAAAGCCTATGAAAAGGTA